GTTGCTGTGAGGATTAAATATGATAGTGTAGTTATAGTTCCTGCTCCTGAAGAGATGCCCCGAAGAGTCACTATTCTACTGTGGTGTGCTCTGTTCTGTTTGATGAGCATGTGGCAAGTAGACACACAGTAGAAGGCAGCAGAACTTGGAGGGGAAAAGCATAGGCCCTAAATCAGGCCGCTGGGTCCAGATTTCCCCTCTATCACTTACTAGCTATGTGAACTTGGAGACGTTACCTGGCCTCTCTAAGCTTCAGTTCTATCTGTAAACTGGAGATAAGAATAGGATGTATCTCCTAGAGGTGCATTTGGAAGAAAGAAAGAGGTAATGTACACAAAGCACTGGGCACTGAGCCCAGCACAAAGTATGCACACAGTAAGTGTTAGCTATTATTAATATTGATTGGATTTTTTTTCTCCCTTGGCCCAGAATTAAAACTATTGAACCAAAAGAGCAAGTGCATTGTCGTTGAAACTCTTTAAAACCAAGTCCTTTTCAATCCCCAAAGTATACAAACTATTATAACTAAAAGCAGCAGCATACCAACAGCGGGGTTTGGGCATGGGGCGGGGGCTTCCCTAGGTTCAAGAAGTAAGAGGGTTCATTGTCTGTATAGAATTTTTAAAAAATAGGCTGGGCACGGTGGCTCACACCTGTAATCCCACCACTTTGGGAGGCTGAGGCGGGCAGATCACGAGGTCAAGACATCGAGACCATCCTGGCCAACATGGTGAAACCCTGTCTCTACTAAAAATACAAAAATTAGCTGGGCGTGGTGGTGCATGCCTATAGTCCGAGCTACTCAGGAGGTTGAGGCAGAAGAATTGCTTGAGCCCAGGAGGTGGAGGTTGCAGTGAGCCGAGATCATGCCACTGCACTCCAGCCTGGCACCTGGAGATGGAGTGAGACTCTGTCTCAAAAAAAATTTTTTTTTTAATCCAAGTGAGGCCGGGTGCGGTGGCTCACGCCTGTAATCCCAGCACTTTGGGAGGCCAAGGCAGGCTGATCATGAGGTCAGTAGATCGAGACCATTCTGGCCAACATGGTGAAACCCCGTCTCTATTAAAAATACAAAAATTAGCTGGGCATGGTGGTGTGTGCCTGTAGTCCCAGCTATTTGGGAGACTGAGGCAGGAGAATCGCTTAAGCCCAGGAGGCAGCGGCTTCAGTGAGCTGAGATCATGCCGCTGCACTCCAGCCTGGTAACAGAGCAAGACTCTGTCTCAAAACAAAGAAACAAAATTTAAAAAACCCAACTGAAATAAAACATTGATCTGCTTTATACTATCACCATCTGCCAACATTTCTAAACAATGTCATAGTTAAAACAGCCACCTCGCAAAACTTTTGTTTCCTTAAGTTCTAAATATTGCTGCAATGACTGTTGAGTTTTAATAACAGATCCATAAGTTGCACATCAGCACATTTTTATTACTTATCCTTTCATAAAAACTGTGTTCTACTGGAGAACTCTGAGTTATATAGTCAGCCCCTCACACCTACAGACTCCATTTGTAACAGTTTGGAGCTGGAGCTGGCTTCAGTTTGTGTCTCCAACTTGAGCAGTCCTTCCCATTCCTGCGTGCAAACATCAGACCCAATACTCAGTCAACAACACAGACTTAGTGGCTGCAAAGACAAAAACATGAAACTTGAGTTAGTTCAGTTCTGTGTGACTTTGAGACATTTTACTTCTATTATATTTAAATTTAAATTTTTTATTGGCCGGGCGCGGTGGCTCACGCCTGTAATCCCAGCACTTTGGGAGGCCGAGGCGGGTGGATCACTAGGTCAAGAGATCGAGACCATCCTGGTCAACATGGTGAAACCCCGTCTCTACTAAAAATACAAAACATTAGCTGAGCTGGGCATGGTGGCGCATGCCTGTAATCCCAGCTACTCAGGAGGCTGAGGCAGGAGAATTGCCTGAACCCAGGAGACGGAGGTTGCGGTGAGCCGAGATCGCGCCATTGCACTCCAGCCTGGGCAACAAGAGCGAAACTCCGTCTCAAACAAAAAAAAAAAAAAAAAAAAAAAAATTTTTTATCAGAGTGTGAACCATGAGGGAAGGTATTTATTTGACACATGAATCATCTTTTAAAAGGAAATTATTCTTTTAAAATTATTTGTTTTTCAGAGTAAAAATCAAGAAGATGGTGCTCATTTCTGATTATTACATGATTATTGCTGAAAATAACTTTGTTATATAGAGGACGTATTAGTTTGTTATCATGCTGCCATTAAGAAAGAAAGCGGTTTAATTGATTCACAGTTCTGCGTGGCTGGGGAGGCCTCAGGAAACTTACAGTCATGACAGAAGGTATCTCTTCAAAGGGCGGCAGGAGAGAGAATGAGTGCTGAGTGAAGGGGAAGCCCCTTATAAAAGCACCAGCTCTCATGATAAATCACTATCATGAGAACGATATGGGAAAACCCACCCCCCCCATGATTCAAGTATCTCTACCTGGTCCTGCCCTTGACATGTGGGGATTATTACAATTCAAGATGAGCTTTGGGTATGGACACAAAGTCAAACAATATCAGAGGAAGCAGATGTTAAATGATTTGCTCTGGTAACAAATATGCTCCGTAGGCCACAGCACAGGAGAGACTTAGAATCTAGTGTAAGCCCCTCGCTCTACAGTTATCCGAAGGGAAGCTGTCTGACGTCACCCAGCAAGGCAATAGCAAAGAGCCTAGACAAACTCTCCTAGCTATTGCTGGACTACTTTTTCCATCTTCTACTCCCAAGGCAACTGAAATAGAACTATAGTGTTAGTGTTTCTCAAGCTGTGATAAAGAATCAATTAAAAAAAGCCTTCAATCTACTGCAGACTAAAACTACTACACAGCCCAGACTACTGGCAGCTCATCATTCAAGCTCATACCTTCCTACCAGTCTCTACCCTGCTGAACAAGACAAATCCGCTGATCACACACTTGGATATAGTAGAGATATCAAGTTGCCACAAAGGTGTTTAAATATTTACTCTCAATTTCTGTTCTTATCCCATCATAGACTGGTGACAGTTCCCTGACCAGCTTTGAATGGCTCTGTACCATCTCATATAGAGTCCATAGCAAGGACTTATGGCCAGGAAAACATCTCTGGATAGTTAGATAAGCAAATTTTAGCTTTTGGATTGTTTTGACTTTGTTAAATTTCTGTGAGGTTAAGGGCTCAGGTTTGAATTACCATCAGTATACTAGCTGTGTGGCCTAAACGTCTTTGAGTTTTATCATCCACAGAACAAGGGAACATAGTGCCTAACTCAGAGGGTATTTTAAGGGAATATGTATGTGTAACCACCATGGGGGTTGACATGTAGTAAGCCCTCTTGTGTATTAGCTATTATTAATTTTATTGCCCCCACTTCTTTCTTTATGTGGTGGGAGGAGGGTGTTGCAGGATAATGTGTCATGGTATAGCTACTATTGTTAGAGGATCTTTGGGCCAGAAACCTCTGTGGTCAGTGGCGCCTTTGTCTGAGTTATTGTCCTGCATCCAGGAAGGATGAGGTACTCAGACAAGTGGAGAGTGAGCAAGATGAAGAGAAGCTTTATTGAGTGGTATAACAGCTAAGACGAGACCAGCAGTGGGTTGCTCCTCTCTGCAGGCAGGTCAACCTGTCATCTCTGCAACTCTTAGCAGAGAGGAGACTTGGAGTGGGTGGCTCCTAGGAGGGGCTTTCTGGGGCCCCAAGGCACAGAGACACCCATTCTGGAGCTGCACCAGGGCAGCTGCAGCAGCACCCAGGGACAGCAGGGCTCCTGCCTGCTCTGTGGAGTGCGAGGCCCAGCCACATCTCCCCACTACAGCTAGTGTCTTGGCAGCAGCCGCTCTAGATGGGCTGTTGCTGCCATCACCATAGGGCAGCCCAGGGAAGAAATCGCACCAAGCCAGGAGTCAGAGCTGTGAGCTCTGGCCCTGTTTTCTGAAAGGATCACTACACTGCAGGTGCATTCGGGAAGCAATGATGGGGCATTGTCCTGCACCAGGCTTTCGCTGGTCACTGGTAGAGAAATGATCCCTGTCCTCGAGGGTCTCACGTTGTGGAGAAGAATCAGAAGAGATACTGTCAGCAGATACAGGGGCTGTGGCAGAGTCAGGATCCCATGAAGAAGAACCCCAGCAGGCTCCTCTTCATCTTCTTTCCAAGCTTGAGCTCACAGAGTGAGCCCAGTTGGGTTCGTGTTACACAAGGGCACCGTCTCCATCTTTGCTTCCCTTGAAGAAAGATTTTCACATGGCCGGGCGTGGTGGCTCAGGCCTTTAATCCCAGCACTTTGGGAGGCCGAGGGATGGATCACGAGGTCAAGAGATCGAGACCATCCTGGTCAACATGGTGAAACCCTGTCTCTACTAAAAATACAAAAATCAGCTGGGCATGGTGGCGCGCGCCTGTAGTCCCAGCTACTCAGGAGGCTGAGGCAGGAGAATTGCCTGAACCCAGGAGGCAGAGGTTGTGGTGAGCCAATATTGCGCCACTGCACTCCAGCCTGGGTAACAAGAGCGAAGCTCCACCTCAAAAAAAAAAAAGAAAAAAGAAAAAGATTTTCACTTTGTCACAGGACCCACAATGACCTTGACATTGCTGCATCTCCTCCCATGACACAGTGTTTTTTCACTGATCCATTTAAATGAATTAACAATTTCCTGTGCAGTGGTGGTGGAGGCAGGGGGTGGAGGGAACAGGGAATGTGACAGAAAAGTGGAGATATTATATTTGGGCTTTGAAGGATGAAGAGGAATCTGCATTGCAAGGTGAATGCCCGGGGGTGGGACATGTTTTGTGACAATAAAAAGTCCCCATCTTTCTAAGATCCGGCTTTCTCATCTGTGGGATGAGGATAAGGCTCACTCATGGCGTCCTTGGGAGTGTCCTCTGATAGACCCAAGGCAGAAACGTTTTGGGAACTATAAACTGCTGTATAAATTATTATATAATACTCAGCCCCCCAGCACAAACATTGACTGTCAGCAGGGAGGGTTAGAACAATTTTTTGCAAGTTGATGAATTATTTTAATCTTTTATAAATTGAACTCTCCCAAAATGGTTTTCATTAATGTCTGATGCCCACTACTGACCCACCACCCCACTCGTCTTTTACTAAAACATCGATAACACAGAATCTAGCTTGCCTTTGTGAACGTGTTAAAAACGATATTTTCAGGGAGAAAAATAGAAAAATAGCCAGTGAGGTTGGTTTGACATTTCTCACTAGGATTTATTCAGGCTGCTGATGTCTATATGCAAACAGTACATTTAGAAGGCAAATGGGTTCTGGTGCCTTATGAATTTCTTTCTCCCCAATTTGCATAGACGGGAGGCCAGCAAGAAATGTAGCAGCAATCAAATTTCACTTGTAATGAAACAATGCAGCGTTTTTGACTGTGGATGGGTGTTTAAATAATCATGACAGTAGCAGCTGGTTCCTTTCTTCCTATGTCCAATTAGGTGCTGTTTTCTCTGCAAGGATTACTCAAAGGTAGTCAAACCTTGATCCTCCCTGTGTCAAAAGTCTGCCTGAAAGACTGACTTCTCATTATCTAAGAAGAAACAACACATTTATTTCTCTGTCTGGGTGTGACACCACTTCAGAGAAAGGTTGCTAGCTTTGAGCTGAAATCTTATTTCATCTCTGGCATGTAGGTGAGGGCTGTTTCTTCTAGGGATTGGAGAGAACTGAGCCAGCTGAGGCAAGTACCCAGGATAGCCAGATGCTGTCAGCAAACAAAGAGTCTCGGTGGAAAGTGAGAAAGTGTGCATTAGGGCGAAGAGGCTGAATTGCCACCTATCAGCAGCTCTGGGAAGAGAGAAGCTCTGTAAATAATCCACTTCTAGGCAGTTTAATGCTTTGAACATAGTAACAGCCCATGCGCAGAAACCATCTGATAGAGCAGACTGCAAATTTCACTTCCAGCAATATGGTTGTGCTTGCACTACAAGCAAAGGTTCTGGCAGCCTAGGGAGAAAGAGGGAAGAGAAGGAGGGGGGCTTTGAAATATAGCCTGGCCCTCCTCCCGCCTCCATGATTCCGTGGGGAAGGCGCATCTCAGAAGGGATCTCAGCTGTTGATTAGAGCCAGTATAATTTTCTTTTTTAGAAATTGGAACTGTTCTCCCACTGCATGTAGACTTCCCAGAGTAATGAATCAATGGTGTCCATAGGGCACCTCTTACATGTTCAGCTGATCCCCAGCATCCAGAGAGTGGTATATGATTTACAAAGTGTTTTTCATTTACAGTGTTGTATATATTTCCCCCAGTAATCCTGAAGAGTAAGAACAGGCATAGACGTTATATCCCTGAAAAAAAGAGGTAAAAGAATAAGATGTGGCAAGGTGCTGTGGCTCACGCCTGTAATCCCAGCACTTTGGGAGGCTGAGGCAGGCGGATCACTAGGTCAAGAGATCGAGACCAACCTGGCCAACATGATTACACCCCGTCTCTACTAAAAATACAAAAATTAGCTGGGCATGGTGGCGTGTGCCTGTAGTCCCAGCTACTTGGGAAGCTGAGACAGGAAAATCACTTGAACCCGGAAGGTGGAGGTTGCAGCGAGCCAAGATTGCACCACTACACTCCAACCTGGCGACAGAGCAAGACTCTGTCTAA